TATCATTCATAGTGAATAGTGATGATATTCTTAGTTTAAGATTACCTTCCTGTTGTGTTTTGTGTCACGATAATGAGGAATCTATTGGTCACATTTTTATTAAATGTCGTTTTACTTCTGATGTTTGGAATGATACTATATAGAAGTTACATTTAAACATGTTCAACATGAATCTGTTACAGTATATAGCATTACTGAGTTTTTTGATGCTTGGAAGCTGATTAATAAAGATTTTTTTTACTGTTATACCTGCTGTTATAAGTTGGCTTATATGGATTGCTAGAAATGAGTGTGAATTTAAAAATATTGTTCCCAATGTGCATAGAACTACTAGCTTAGTGTTGAATTATTTATATAAAGGACTAAAGTTTTTTATTACTAACACTAAGATTTCTAGAAATTTGAAACATTTGAGACATCTTCTGAATATTCCTAATTCTATGCATAATAAGATTAATTCTAATAATAAGTGGCATAAACTGTGGATGCCTTTTATTAAGATTAAGTTGATGGTTGTTGGAATTCCTTATCTGCTATTGTAGGAGGAGTTTGTAGAGACTATTTAGGTGTGATTCTTTACTGGTTCTCGGCAGGGGGACTTTCTGATTCCCCTTTGGTTGTTGAAGCTGATGCTTTAGTCTTTGGTTTACAATTGGCTATTAATTATGGTTAGAAATTTATTATTATGGAAACTGATTCTTTGATTCTTTGGTAGTTTTGTAATTTACAGCAATAATATCACTGAAGTATCAATATTCAGATTAAAAGGATTTTTGATCTTTGAAAGCATTTATTCATTTATTGGTCTCATACAAAGCGAGATGGAAACAAGACTTCTCATTTGGCTGCTAAATGGGGATTAAAGACGCAGGGTGCTAATGTTTCTAAGATTATTCCTAATAATCTGATGCTTTTAGCTTTAAGGGATGTTGAGTAGATTGATGTTTTTTGGTTGCTCCGTATTTTTGTTTTCTGTTTTGACTTGTTGTTTTGTGTCGTTTTTGGGGCTTTGTAGTTTGGTGTTTTGTGTGTTAGAGTCTTGTTGTGTTTTGGTGTGGGTGAATTGTATTTTTTTCTTTTATGGAAAGAGGTCATTTTTTATTTTCTTTGTGCATTTGTAGGGTGTGTGTGTTGGGACATTTTTCCCGGGCTTGTATTTTATTTTTATTGTATAATAAAATTAGAGTTTGTCACTCTTTTTAAAAAAAAACTAAAAGTGCTAAGAAATTCTTTAATTTTAAAATTTAGGAAATATCAAGCTCAAAGGAAGTCTCGTAAAACAATCTTTTTTGAAAGTAATTTTAAATTAAATTAAAATCTTATAAGGAGTCAAACTCAAAATCCTTTACAAAAATCAAACTCAATTAAAAATCATTTTAATACTAGGACTAAATTTTAAAACATCTTTTAAAAACTCAAAACTAAGAAGTTCTTTTCTTAAACTCAAGATTAAAAATCATTTTTCAAAATTCAAAATTTTATTTTAAAAATCAAATTTTTAAAATTGAAATCTTTCAAGATTTAAGAATTTTTTTATGCTTAAACTTCAACTTTCTATGGCTTTTAATAAACTCTTAAAATACTTTCATAATTAATAAGACTTAAAAATTAATTTTAAACAAAACTTAATGTAGAGAGATCTTTTTCAAAAAATTATTAACCTCCTTTTAAAGCTTAAAAAAAAGCAAGAACCTATATATAAGCTTTGCCAGTCTCTCTTAATAACTTAGTATAGGCAAGACTTTTGTATTCATTGACATAAGTGCCTCCAGAATGAACATGTTTCTCCACAGAAATATGTGATTTTGTAGCCTTGGTTGTTGAGTATATAAGTCATGGACCATTCCAACTCTACATAATTTATATAACAGCAAATCTATATCACTCACACTCTTTGAATGATAAAAGTATTTTTTTTAAAACCCTTTTCTTTTAATGAAAAAACCAAATATTTTTTGTGAAAATACAATTGATCCTTATATATAAGTCTCAACCACCCAAAACTAAACCCTAGGAATAAATAGTTAGAACATATAAAATAGAAAACTTAACTCAAAACTATTACATGAACCCTTATTACACCAACCGACAATCTAGGAAAACTGAAACTTTAAACCCTAAGAAGAACCTTGATTTTAATCAAAACTAGCAAACTTAGGAATTTAACAAATAATGAGCTAAATATTGAACCCCCTAAAATAATTAAATTTGACCAACTCTAATTTTCATAACCACAACCTAGGATAGCTCTAAACTATGAACCCTAGGTTAGTCATCATAGAAAAAAAACATAGGTCCACACACATCCTAGAGTCGTCTAGTCTAGAAGCCTAGGTTAGATTAATTGGTAGCCAATCGATATAATTAAGGAATAGTGCCTCCAAAACCAATGGCTTACCCCATGCATTATAGGGGCACCCTAAGAATAAGTAACCTATGGTTATTGATGAAGGTACCCCAAACCACTTAATATTAAGATGATCTTATTAACCCATCACTAAGACAACAAGAGAGATCTTCTATTAGTTTGTTAATTAATAGTCTAAAGAACTTAATGCACCCAGAACATGGAAAGTCATGTACATCGTGACGTAAGATGTTATTTTCTAAATTTAGGTTATTCCAACTATTTCATTCTTTTAGGGTCATTTTAGGTTAGGGCTTTATCTGCATCTAGAAATCCCCCACCTATTCCTACCCCTTAGTTCAAACTCAACTGAATTCAATCCAAATCAACTCAATTTAATTCCAATTCCAATCAATTTCACCTCAAATCAAGTCAATTCTAATGTCAACTCAATTCCAACCTAATTTCAATCAATTTCAATTCAACTTTGAATCAACTCCAAATACACACTTCAAACTTGAACTTCAAACTCAAGCTCAATACCAAATATCTTATTTTCAATTGCTAGGCCCAAACCATATGGATCCAAATAATTTTAAAACTCAACCCAATTTTAGTAAAGTTAACTTTAATCAACTTTATCCAACTATGGCTTTCAACAACTTCATAAATAATTTAACAAACTTTAATGAACTTTAAGAAATTTTATTAATTTTTAATAAGTCTAACCAAAACTTCAATAAATCAAACATAATTAAATTCCAACAAAAATATTAATTAACTTCAATAAACCTTAATAATTTTTAAAAAACTTAATTGAATCTTAGTAATCCTTAATAAGTTTAATGAATCAAAAATAAATTTTAAAAAATTTGATGAATTTAAAATAAACTTAAATAAATTAAATTATTTTGAATAAATTTTAATCTAACTTTTAAAAAGTCTAAAGAAATGTTCAAATAAACCTTAAAATTAAATTTAACAATTTTAATGAATTTTAATCAACATTGACAGTTAACAACCAATCTTAAATCTTTAAAAAAACTCAAGAAAATCACTACAACAAGACTCTTAAATGAACTTTAATAACCTTTAAATAATTTTTACAATAAGCTTGATACAAACCTAATAACTTCAACAAATTAATCTCAAAAGACCTAAATTCTTCATCAAATCTAAATAAAAATTAAAACACTATTTTCATAATCTAACTTAAACAAGATCAAACTTAAATGTCAGTCAAAATGACATTGTTTTTTATCTTAACTTAAATGACATTGTTTTTTATCTTAAATTAAATTCAAACAAATCAAGTTCCTTAACTTAAATGACATTGTTTTTTATCCAAGCCAATTCTAAAGTTTCCAATTCTACTCACATCATTCCCATCCTTCCATTTGAGACTTCAAAATTCATCATCTCACAGACATGAGTGTTTTTGTACTTAACTATTAGGAAACCCCATCGTAAGGATACCTGACCCCAGAATAATATAAATATTATCTTACACATGTAAGGCATGCAAAAAAAATCCAATGTTCTGTGAATCCATAACTCATAGTGATTTTTTCCATCCAAATAATTAGATCCATTCTAAGTTAATATTCTTATCCCTTGGGGTATTATATTATTTTATGAATGTCATACATAATTATTTCGATATAAATCCATTGAGATCTATAATGGCCACACAATAAAAACCCCACCAATGCAGGGTGCAGATGACAACATGTTTGCGTTCACAGCTCAATCCGTTACTAAAGAAAAAAAAAACCATCTCAAATTATTCATTGGATCAAGCCTTGCAAACCCTTAGTCAAGGTGAATGCGGATGGGAGTTTTAATTATGACGTTGCAAATGCTGGGGGAATTTTCAGAGACTATAATGGGAGATGCCTGGTCACATTTTCTACTCCATGCTATCCTCCTAGCTGCTAAAAGATTGAAGTTTTTGTCTCGGTTATTGAACTAGCTAGATTCATTAACTACTTTTCAAGTTTGTGTGGTGAACATCAACTAACCTTGGTACAATGTCATTTTATGGATGAATATTATGTACTTGCTACCTTTTTTCTACATTAGATGGCCACACACATTTATTGCTTTTGTTAATTCTTCCATTAATATTGAGCTTAAGATTTTGATGCGTGGAGATACCATAGGTTTTCCTTATATTAGAGTCTCCTCGGGAGCTCCCTTATGATTTGTAATTGTTTGATTGATCATAATAGATCCTTGCTTTTAGTTTTTTGTGTGTGTGTGTGTGTGTGCGTCGCGTACTCAGATCAGTTAGCCGAGCATCTGCTTATCATTCGTAAGTCCCCTCTAATCTGAGTTTCGATTCCCCCCGAGTGTGAGATGTGTTGTCAAATGATAGGCATATGAGGAATGAACGGGGCTAGTGTGTATAT